CGTCCGTCGTCGCGACTTTTCGCTGCCGAGACGCTTCCGTCACTCGTCCTCCGTCTTTTCGTGAGGCCAGCGCTGCGGGCATCACCGTGGTGGTGGCGGCCGGCGACTTTGGGCTCTCCGCCCCCCGCTTGCAGCGAGTGGATTGGGGAATGAGGGAAAAGCGAGCTGACCGGGGGAGATGTGAAGTCTCAACCCCCCGCCCCCAACAAAAATAAAAGATAAGATCACAATTTATACACGGGGGGTCATTGTTAAACACCCCAAAGTGAGATTTGTCTTTTTTCTAGTCAGCCCCACAATGTGGGGCGGGAGAGAGCGGTTGTCAGAATGAGGGGTCCTATTTGGTATCCCAAAGGCGGCGCGTATCGGCGGCACCAGGGTCCAGGAAACCATTCTTTTTGCCAACCCCCCGGATGGATGGTTGCCTACAAAAGGAAGCCACAAGAAGGTTGTAAGCCCAAAATTGATGTGTCTGGCCACTCTGTTGGTGCCTCTTTGTTGCTCTTCTGATGCTCTGTTTCCAACAATCGTGGAAGTGGACGTTCGCCGGGTTTTGGAAGACGACCATTCTCCCGGAAAAGCCCTTTGCCTACTTCAACGAGTTTTGGAAAAAGGGCAGCCTGGAACCTGGAACATCATTTTTTCTCTCCCCGAAGCTCGTTGCTTTCCGGTGCGACCAGGCCTGCGAGTACACCCCCAGCTACCTCAAAGAGGCGCTGGTGGTGGGAGCCACCACCAGGCGCGAGATCCGGCTTGGGGGGCTCCGGATGGCCAGGGCGAAGCCAAGCTGCCAGGGAAACGGCCCCGGGGCTTAAGGGGTCCTGACTGGAACCGCTCGGCCAATGACGGGCGATTTGGTCTTTGATTGGGCCTTACATGCCATGGTTCTCAGAAGACTTCGATGAACCCCTCTTGGGTTTTCGCATTGACCCTGTGTTGAGAACGTGGGAAGAGATCCGTTCCCTGGGTTTCCCAAAAGTCCCAAGTCCCTATCGCACCGGCGAGGGTTGGGGCTGCACTGTGCGCTTGGATTCGCCAGGAATGATACCCGGGCCAACTTCAGTAGCACCGGCAGTTGCCACTGGGACGGAGTGGTCGTCGTCCTGGGCGGAACGCCGCGTGCTTTTGGGGCTACGCTGTCCGGGTGGGCTTGCGAAGCCTTGAAAGGACAACCTCTATGTGGGAAGCCAAACAAACTAAAAACCACGGTTTGAGGGTTGTAGCGACAAATCAGCAGGAAACCCGAAATCCATGTTGGGGTCCCCTACTTTGACACTCTCGGAAGCGGGCAGCAAGTTGGCGAAAACGCCATGTTTGCCGTGGGAACTCATCCATGGCTCCACCCGCGGTTTTTTTTTAATTCAGGGGCTCCCTGTTTTGGGCTTGACCTCCTGGTTGAGCTTTGTTTGGGGGGGGGGGAGGTTGGGTTTTGCTGGGAGCCCAGCATGAATAACCAACCCCTGGTTGAGCTTTGTTAGGGTACCCTCCAACAACTGTCTAATGGAACGATCAGAAGGTTTTGGAAGACCATCCTCTCTTGAAATGGTGCACTTCCATGATTCGAGGTGTACTGTTTGCCTCAAAGATCGTTAGCGAACTTGACAAGCAGGTACCCTCGAGACATATACCCTGAACAATCATGGACATGGATGCTCGAAGGGTTGTGGAAGACTACCAGTATCTTAAATTATCTTAGGTCCCACACGTCCATTCTCATTTTTGTTGCCAACACGTGCACTCGCAAAACTGATATTCATTTATGCGTTTTCTTTCCAAAGAACCCCCCAACAAATGGTTCCCTCAAATCAAGGTTCCATGTCAGGTACCCTCAAAACCGACCTACCATTTGTCGCGGCCGAGGTATAGACTTAATGGCGCCGGGGGAGGACATCCTGACTTGTGGCATCAGCGCGGCGCCCTGTTGATCCTGAGAGCCCTTCAATCGATTCGCGAGTGACCTACAAATCCCCCAAAAGGGGTGCTTCTTTGTTTAGGTGACCCTCTTTTGCTAGCTTTGAGGGAAACCACCATTTTGGGGGGGGGTCTCCTAAAAAATGACACACCCACGTGGGTTGGTCTCAAAATAGAGGCTTCGGTTCCTTTTTGTCGCCATTTAAAAATAGGGCAAAAAAGCGACACCACATCGTGAACATCAGGGACCCAGAAGAGGAATCTTCACACAGAATAGTGTTCACCTGGGGGGGAGTCCACAAGAACTGGATTTGGATTTATTCCTAACCTCCAAACCACCTGGCTCAAAAAAACGAGTTGAGGAAAGCAGATGATTGCCTCTGCGTTGATGCAATTGGTGAGTTGCGCGTACATGTAGGCCGTATGGATTGAGATTTCACCCATTCACTAGACGGAGTCCACTTCACTTTCTGAGTTCCGGAAACGGACTTTAGTCACTTGGGAGGACCATGATAGTGGTAAAAGTTGTTTGTTTTGCCAATCCACTCGACTAGTTGGTAGGTATTCGATTCCAAGGTTTCACCTATCCGAATCCGAACTGGTCCTGTTTCGTGGGTTTTGTCCATCAGAAGAAGGTTCAGTCAAAATATCGCAGTGGTTCATTTGGTCCTGCGTATGAGCTGACAGAATTGGCCGACTACTGTTTGATGGTTGCGGAAAAAAGGGCTTGAGGGATACTTTTTGCACCTGGGGAGTTCCCTAATTCAATACAAACCAATTGGTGGGGATGGGAATCCCACCAAAGGTATCACACGGATATTTTCCACAGCCACTGTTGCTGTTGGTCCCCATGCAACAGCCAGTTCGGAACGGAAGCCACATGGGTCTGTGTTTTTTTGAGGGTTCCCCCGTTCCCCCTTTTTGGTCTGTTTACAGGGGACCCAGGGCGGAAAACCGAACTCCTTCCCCTATGTTGACTTGAGGAGAATGGGGAAATGGCAGGTACTGTTGACCCCATTTTAATCACAAGTTTCTGAAATTCCAGGGGGTGGGGGGCCCCATCCAGTCTGATTCCCCCAGAGAAGTGGGTACGGGTCAAAATCAAACCACCAGGAATTGGACCGCACCTTTTAGTCCATGTTTCCATTCACCAGGGCAACCCATGTTGGGGTTACCCTATTTCTGACCACAGCCATATGGCTATTTTGAATAAGAAATCCGGTCAAAAGCGGCTGGTGGACCTAACTCCCCCCAGAAACGTGGACGGAGGGATCCCTCCCCTGCGCCCGACGTCGCCGGACGCGCCGCTCGTCGCCCCGCCCGACGGCTCGAGGCTCCGACGGCGCGGAGGTGCGCTTCAGCGGCTCCGGGGCCGCGGCGGCGCACGCGGCGGGCGCCGCGGCGCTGCTCCTGGCGGAGCACGGGGGCCCGGGCTCGGCCGAGTTCGGCGCGGGGCAAACACCATGCGACGAGGACTTCCATTTGGTGAAACGAATATTTTTCCCCCTGTTGGTTTCAAAGGGAATCTATCACTACTGGATTTTTATTTTTATTTTTATTTTATTTTTATTTTTACAGGGGTCTTGACCAAATGGAAGAGGAATGTATGGAGAAAGCTCCTTTTGGGGGCCCGGCACGCCCTGTCTCCACATTTTTTATTTATTTATTTTTCGGGCGGGGGGGGGGGGGGTGCCTCGCATTTTTCCTGGTTCTCGCATCTAAGAAGGTATCCGCCAGCCCCCAAACCACTGTGGGATAACAAGGCCTTTAAGCCTTGAATGCCGTTTGTCTGTGTTCCATTGAACCCAGATAAACACTTGTTTTTGTAGAGGGGTCAAACCACTATTTGGGTTCTCTAGCATCATGTTTTGGACCCTCGGTCCGTTGGAAGGTTTTGGACCTCAATTTCAAGGGATTGCCTTTCCTTGCTGAGTTGGATGACCCCGAGAAAACCATCCCTTGTGTTTTCTTTAAGGAAATTCATTCCCAAAAGCCTGGGTCCTTCCTGCTGAGCACCAGCAAGTTTAGGGGTTCCCTTTGAACCAACCTAAAGGGGGACGCACAAAAAAGACCAGCTCTCTTTTTTTGGAGGGTACCCTTTCTTGTTGGGAAAGGTGAAACCAGCAGCAATTTGGGGGGCTCTAGAAAAGGCCGCACCTATACTATCTATCTATCTATCCAATCTGTCAGTTTACACCTTGCGAAAGTGCTGCGCCTGCCGCGCATGCCAATGGCCCGGCTGCGAGATCGCTCCGAACGCACTCCAAGAAAGCGTCGCGATCAGAATAGCTTTCTGCAGAGCGGTGAGCTTTTCAGACCGCCACACACGCAGGGATTTGTCTGTGCCTGCTTGTGTTTATCTTATCTTCTGTCAGAGTGCTTAAGTCTGGACGGGAGCCCCCTGGCTTACCTTTTGCCAATCATGGAAGCAGAAGGGCTTTGAAGACTAGTCCTGTTGAAGAGGCTCCCAGTTGTTCATGATTGGAAGGGTTGCTTCAGAATCTCTTGAAGGCTTAATATTGAAAGGAATTCAAACAGGAGGTTGCGTAAGCAACCCTCACCTCAACAGCGTTGCTTACAGCCTCACCAGGGACGCTGTGACAAAGCCCTTGTTCGCAATACATGTGCGTGCGTGTGTTGTTTGTTTTGGAGGGTATTCTTTGGGGTCGTTTTGAAGGGAAGCCAAGGGGACAACCGCGTTCGCGTTCGCTTCCCAATTTTTGACACACACACACACACACACCCATAGAGCTTGTTCCGAAAAAGGGGATGCGCCCTAAAGTGATGTGGTTTTCTGAGGGCCCGCTTTGTTGGGGTTTAAATGGAAAAGCAAGGGATGCACCAGTTGAGGAAATTCTGGGTTCTTAGCTGTTTCGTTGTAAAATCAAGAAATAAAGAGGAACTCACAAGATGTTTCAGCCCACAGGCAAAACACACCGGAGACTCGCTTTTTAATCACCGGTGACGTGCCTAAGGAAGCCAGACCTGGCACCTGGGGAGGCGCGAAACTGATAGACCGAAGCGGCTCCATTGCCTTCTGTCGAATTCAGCATGTTCATCTGCGAGAAAAGTATGTGTGACTGTGTGGTTGCGTGTGTTCGTGTCTGTGTGTCTGTGTGTTTGTATGTCTGTGTGCCTGTTGTTTTTGTGTGTTGTTGCGTGTGTTTGTCTCTCTATCTGTATGTCTAAGCATTTGTGTGTTTGTGCTTGCGTGTTTGTATGTCTGTGCGTCTCTGTTTGAGTTTGTGTGTTGTTGCGTGTGTTTGTCTCTGTGTCTGTATGTCTAAGTGTCTGTGTTTGAGGTTGTGTGGGTGGTTGCGTGTTGTTGTGCTTGTGGGTCTGTATGTCTGTGTGTCTCTGTTTGAGTTTGTGTGTGTGTGTGTGTGTGTGCGTGTGTGTGTGTGTGTGTGTGTGTGTGTGTGTGTGTGTGTGTGTGTGTGTGTGTGTGTGTGTGTGTGTGTGTTTGGTTGCATGTGTTTGTGTCTGGGGGTCAGTATGTCTGTGCGGCTGTGTTTGAGTTTGTGTTTGTTTGTGTTTGTTTGTGTTTGTGTGTTTCGTGTGTTGGAGCGCCATTTGGAGGTCATGCAGACCCTGCTGGACACCAGCACCGTTGGGCGCCTCTCCCAGTTGGAGGACTCCCCCGACAGGCGACACCGGGGAACCAGAAGAAATGGGCGGGGCTGGGGCACATCAGAGGTTTGTCAAAGAGCCAACAACCACCGGCGATTTGTGCCGTAGCTTCTCAGGAAATCGGAAAACCCGAGGTGTATTGGATGGAAGAGAGAACCAACATATGTCCACAGGGGCGGTGGAACCCACAAGAAGCCCGGGGGTTTTGGGTTCCCCCCATGGAGGCTGAGACGGGATGTTCAACAAGCTTGAGGCTTACGTCATCTAATGGTAGCTTGAAAATTCTAGAGGTTTAGGTGCTAAGGGGTCTGCGACTGGCATCCTTGTGGTTTTGGGGTGGGAGGGCACATCCACATGGACCCCTGAGGGGAAGACTCGTTTCCTGAACTTGGCACAAGACTGTGGATTCACCCGGGTGTGGTCAAAAATAGGCACCCAAAGTGGAACCCTGGTAAATGGAAGCAGGGACTTACATCTGTGTATAGGAAGCCATTGTTTGTTAGTATCTGCAGGGGAATGGAACCATTCCAGGGTTTGAGCGGTGGCTTTGTTCTCGCGGATCATTTTTTTTTCGTGTGATCCCGATCCTCTCTGCGCAGGCTGTTGAACACTTTGGGGGAGCAGATCAAGATCCCGGCCTGGGGGGAAAAGGCGGGAAGCGGCGAAGGAACCGAGGCCAGCTAGGCAAGCCAAGACACTAGGCACCCCCATGTTTTTTTTGGGGGGGACAACCTGAGCCATATTTATGGATGCGGATATCCGCCCGTTTGATTCTTTGCGCACATACATATATATATATATAGTTGCTGGTAGCAAGCGAACAAACGAAACACAGGTTTTGATAGCGACGCATGAGAACTTCGAATTTCAATGGGGAGGACCCTTGTCAGAGAAACCCAACAAGATAGATCATTGCCTCACCTGCTTAGCATGGGCCACATAAATCTGAAGTTAACAAACGTGTGTTTTTCGCCCAGTCCCAAGCATTTCGCTGTTGACCCTTGGAGTAACCAGTTGTCTCGAAAGGGTTGAAACCATGGATGGCTTCCCTGAATAAACCTGCGATCCGAATCAAAACCTGAAACAGCGTCTTTCAGGCGGCTGTGGGATTCGGAATTTGTCTGGTCGAGGACAGCAGCCAGAAGCAGTGCGGATATCTGCCCTTTCAATGGTTAACCATGGTTTTTGGGAGGAGCCCTTAAATGCCGAGTTTGATTTGACTCGGCAGGTGTGTGGCAACATTGGTGGCCGGTTTCCTTTTGGTTTCCCTTGAATCCAAAAAAAGTTACCAAGCCTCAAATACAAACACACGTACACGTTTTGATTTGACTCTCTGAAGGTATGTGCCAACATTGGTGGCCTGTTTCCTTTTGGTTTCCCTTTAAACTCAAAACAAGTTGCCGAGCCTCAAAATACACAGAGCCATGTAGGTAGTCAAACCACTAAATGGGCTTAGACATCATCCTCCGCCATCTCTGGATAAGGATCGGTTCTTGAACCGTCCCCCGACCGGACGCTCATTTCAATCAGAGTCCATTCATATACACACAAAGGGCTGTGGGTCAAAACGAAACCACCAGGAATTGGACCGCACCTTTTAGTCCATGTTTCCATTCACCAGGGCAACCCATTTTGGGGTTACCCTATTTCTGACAACCACAGCCATATCGAGATTAATTTGAATAAGGGTCCGGTCCACCTCAAAAGCGGCTGGTGGACATAAATCCCCTCCCAAATGTTGTCCACCGAAATTCACCCGCATCATGTATATATATATACACATACATATACGCACTTATTTATTTATATACATGCTCACACACATACATATACAAATATACAAATATACATATATACATATATATATATTCCTGGCACGCTCCTACCCAATCCATTGCTGGAGACCTAACCGCCAGGGCATGTGGAGCTTGGTGGACGGCGGCGTGGATCGGCAATGCGGCCTTGGGCCCAGAAAGCGACGCTGGCGGTTGCGGAGGGCGGGGCGGAGGTGGACGTGGCTTGGCTGGTTGACCTTTCTTGGTAAGTGTTTGGTAAGTTGTTGCCAAGTTTTGGCAGGATTTTGGCAGGACTTTTTGGGAAGTTCTTGGTTTCCCACCATATTGGCATAGCAGCAAGAAGGAGATGTCCGGCAAAGTGGGCATGAGGATGTAGAAAGCAGAACGTTGTAGAACTTTTGCAGGGAATCTAAGTCCGGTCGCCAGTGACGTTCAGGTCTTGTCTTGTTCGTCTCAACATAGGGGACCCCAGAGTTCTAACTAAGAACGGAAAATGAGACACTAAGAGCGGAAAAGAGGGATACTAAGAGCGAAAAAAGTAATAGTTCTAGTAGTAGTACTAGTAATAGTAGTAGTACTAGTAATAGTAGTAAACTAGTAATAGTAATAGTAGTAGTAGTAGTAGTAGTAGTAGTAGTAGTAGTAGTACTAGTACTAGTACTTGTACTAGTACTAGTACTAGTAGTAGTATTGGTAGTAGTAGTAAGAGTAGTAGTACTAGTACTACTACTCCTCCTGCTAGTACTAGTACTAGTACTACTACGACTACTCCTCCTACTAGTACTAGTACTACTACTACTCCTCCTACTAGTACTAGTACTTGTACTACTGCTCCTCCTACTAGTATTAGTACTAGTACTAGTACTAGTACTAGTACTAGTACTACTACTCCTCCTACTAGTATTAGTACTATACTACTCCTCCTACTAGTACTAGTACTATATTACTCCTCCTATTAGTACTAGTACTAGTACTACTACTAGTACTACTACTAGTACTACTACTAGTACTACTACTCCTCCTACTAGTACTAATACTATATTACTCCTCCTACTAGTACTCGTACTAGTACTACTACTAGTACTACTACTAGTACTACTACTAGTACTACTGCTAGTACTACTACTAGTACCACTACTCCTCCTAGTGGTTTCTTGTGCTAGTACTACTACTCCTCCTCCTACTAGTACTAGTACTACTACTCCACTAGTACTAGTACTAGTACCACTACTCCTCCTACTCGTACTACTACTATACTACTTCTCCTATGAATACTAGTACTAGTACTGCTATTCCTCGTACAAGTACTAGTACTATACTATTCCTCCTACTAGTACTAGTACTAGTACCTCCTACTCGTACTAGTACTATAATACTTTCTCACTAGTACTAGTACTAGTACTAGTACTCCTCCTACTAGTACTAGCACTAGTACTACTTTTCCTCCAACAAGTACTAGTACTAGTCCTACTACTCCTCCTACTAGTACTAGTACTACTACTACCACTCCTCCTACTAGTACTACTCCTCCTTCTAGTACTAGTACTAGTACTACCACTCCTCCTACTAGTACTAGTACTAGTACTACTACTTACTAGTGCTACTAGTACTGGTACTAGGACCCTACTAGTACTAGTGCTAGTACTACTACTCCTCCTGCTAGTACTAGTACTAGTACTACTACGACTACTCCTCCTACTAGTACTAGTACTACTACTACTCCTCCTACTAGTACTAGCACTTGTACTACTACTCCTCCTACTGATATTAGTACTAGTACTACTACTCCTCCTACTAGTATTAGTATTATACTACTCCTCCTACTAGTACTAGTTCTATATTACTCCTCCTACTAGTACTAGTACTAGTACTACTACTAGTACTACTACTAGTACTACTACTCCTCCTACTAGTACTAATACTATACTACTCCTACTAGTACTACTACTAGTACTATTACTAGTGCTACTACTAGTACTACTGCTAGTACTACTACTAGTACCACTACTCCTCCTAGTGGTTTCTTGTGCTAGTACTACTACTCCTCCTCCTACTAGTACTAGTACTACTACTCTACTAGTACTACTACTACTATACTACTTCTCCTACAAGTAAGGTCCGGCAGAGCCGGGGGGCGGAAGTTTCAAAGCAGTGAACAACTATAGTTTGGAGAACTGTCCTTGGCCCCTTGCTTCTCTCTCTCTCTCTCTCTCTCTCTTTCTCTCTTTCTCTCTTTCTCTCTTTCTCTCTCTTTCTCTTTCTCTTTCTGTTTCTCTGTCTCTTTCTCTCTCTCTCTCTCTCTCTCTCTCTCTCTCTCTCTCTCTCTCTCTCTCTCTCTCTCTCTCTCTCTCTCTCTCTCTCTCTCTCTCTCTCTCTCTCTCTCTCTCTCTCTCTCTCTCTCTCTCTCTCTCTCTCTCTCTCTCTCTTTCTTCTCTTTCCTCTTTCCAAAGCTCCCAACGAGCGCTTCAAGTTCAACTCTCCTCCCTCCCCCCCGAGAGCGCCTTTTCTTTGCGTCTGCCCAAGCCGTGCTGTAGTCTGGGCTGGAGCACGCGGCCCGAAACGGCACGCGTGTCAAGCGCAAAAGCTAGGCTTTTCTCTTCGTCTGCTTCAGCGGGCTCGGATCTCGTGCTCCGCATTCTCTCGCGACTGTACCGCGTCGCCCGGCCGAAACGCCAAGGCAGCACGCAGCACTTCGTCGACGCACTTGGTAAAGATCCTCGCGTCCAGCGTGGCCGTGTGATCCCACACAGTAGCCTCCAGGCTGTAGCACGGCCGGACGCCAGCTTCGTCGTGTTTGTCGCAAGTCTTGCGAAAGCAAGTGGCGCAGCCTGTGTAGTGCCAAGAGTCTTCCGGCACCCGGGACAAGGTCTGCAGGTGAGCCAGCGTGCAGAACGGTGCCTCCCACACGTCCTCGTGAGAGAACTTCTTCGCTTCGGCCGCCGGCAAAAAAGCGCCGAGCGTCGCCAGCGAGACCAAAGTCGCCGGTCCGGCGCCGTATCTCTTTATCTTTCTTGATTTCTATTTTTCTATCTCTTTATCTCTTTTTTCTTTCTATCTATTTCTCTCTCTATCTCTTTTTCTATCTCTATTTATCTATCTATCTATCTATCTATATGTATGTATCTATCCATCTGTCTCTCCATCTATCTTCCGCGTATCTATCTATCTACCTATCTATCTACCTATCTATCTATCTCTATATCTCACTATGTATTCCTCTGTCTACTTATCTATCTATGTCTCTCTCTATCTGTCTATCTCTCTATCTATCTATTTCTCTATCTCATTATCTCACGTGTATTTCTCCATCTTTTTATCTCTTTATCTATTTATTTATATTTATAATTATCTATAGATCTACCTATCTATCAATCTCTCTATCTACCTCTCTATCTCCTATCTATCTATCTACCTCTCTATTTATTTATCTCTCTATCTCTTTATCTATCTAGCTAGTTATTTGTCTATCTATCTACAAATCCATCTATCTCTGTCTATCTCTGTTTCTCTATCTCTTTCTATCTATCTCTCTAGCTATCTCTATATCTGTTTATTGATCTATCTATCTACCCATCTTTCTCTGCACTTAAAAGTTGCGATGTTCAATCCCCGAAAGTTGACTTCGCGTACTACTTTCGTACTTAAAAGTTGCGATTTTCGAGCCCCAGCTGCGAAACTGGACTTCACGTACTACTTTCGTAGTTAAAAGTTGCGATTTTCGAGCCCCAGCTACGAAAGTGGACTTCGCGTACTACTTTCGTACTAAAAAGTCGCGATTTTCGAGCCCCAGCTGCGAAAGTGGACTTTGCGTACTACTTTCGTACTTAAAAGTTGCGATTTTCAAGCCCCGGCTGCGAAAGTGGACTTTGCGCACTACTTTCGTACTTAAAAGTTGCGATTTTCAAGCCCCAGCTGCGAAAGTTGACTTCGCGTACTACTTTCGTACTTAAAAGTTGCGATTTATCTATAGATCTACCTATCTATCTACCTCTCTATCTCCTATCTATCTATCTACCTCTCTATTTATTTATCTCTCTATCTCTTTATCTATCTAGCTAGTTATTTGTCTATCTATCTACAAATCTATCTATCTCTGTCTATCTCTGTTTCTCTATCTCTTTCTATCTATTTCTCTAGCTATCTCTATATCTGTTTATTGATCTATCTATCTACCCATCTTTCTCTGCACTTAAAAGTTGCGATGTTCAATCCCCGAAAGTTGACTTCGCGTACTACTTTCGTACTTAAAAGTTGCGATTTTCGAGCCCCAGCTGCGAAACTGGACTTCACGTACTACTTTCGTAGTTAAAAGTTGCGATTTTCGAGCCCCAGCTACGAAAGTGGACTTCGCGTACTACTTTCGTACTAAAAAGTCGCGATTTTCGAGCCCCAGCTGCGAAAGTGGACTTTGCGTACTACTTTCGTACTTAAAAGTTGCGATTTTCAAGCCCCGGCTGCGAAAGTGGACTTTGCGCACTACTTTCGTACTTAAAAGTTGCGATTTTCAAGCCCCAGCTGCGAAAGTTGACTTCGCGTACTACTTTCGTACTTAAAAGTTGCGATTTTCGAGCCCCGGCTGCGAAAGTTGACCTTGCAAAAATGCTGCGCCTGCCACCAAATCTGTGCTTGACCTTGCTAAAGTGCTGCGCCTGCCACAAAATCTGTACTTGACCTTGCGAAAGTGCTGCGCGTGCCACGAATTTTGCACTTGACCTTGCGAAAGTGCTGCACCTGCCACAAATTCTGTACTTGACCTTGCGAAAGTGATGCGCCTGCCACGAATTTTGTACTTGACCTTGCGAAAGTGCTGCGCCTGCCACGAATTTGGCACTTGACCTTGCGAAAGTGCTGCGCCTGCCACGAAATCGATACTTGACCTTGCGAAAGTGCTGCGCCTGCCACGAAATCTATACTTGACCTTGCGAAAGTGCTGCGCCTGCCACGCAATTCAAACCTTGCGAAACCTTCGCGCGGCCGTGCCAATGGGCCCGTCTCCGAACCCGTTCCGAACCCGTTCCGAGACCGTTCCGAGACCGTTCCGAGACCGCCTCCGTACAGGCGTCGCAGCCGAGGTGGTTTGCGCATTGTCCGGAAGCCCAATTCACGCACAGCGCCAACGTTTTCTGCATCTTGCCATCCCCCAGCTCGCAGAGAGTGCTTGCG